CCAGCCAAGAGAAGAAACTCCCCTACCACCCAAGCATGACGCTGTTACCATCATAATGATAATAGTGGCCGGTTTGCACGGAGAGCTTACTCTGTGCGAAGTACCTTGCACACCCCACTCAGCCCTCATTCTGTCACCGTGGGAACTGCATGGCAGGGACTCGTGAGAAAGGTGTTCACTGTACTGCCGGCAAGTGCAGACTGGGACCTGAACTCAGATCAAGTAACAAATGTCACCTTTTAAACCACTGTGGTCATGTCTGTGCCACCCATGACCTGACTCCTTTCATGTAGCAGCCCATGGGATCGTCTGGGCAGGTGCTGTCTCCACTTTATAGAGACAAAGCCCTGGGTGCTAAGAAGCCGAGGAAAGGTCAAGGTGACTGAGAGGACCAGGCAGAGCCCAGCCTGCAGGTGGATCTGGCTGTCCCAGGCTGCTGTCCCAGATCCCCACAGTTTGAAGCCCTGGGATCTCAGGGTCCCTCTGTGAGCCACCCCTAGGGTACCTTATACTTTTGGGGTATAGAGTCCAGACACACAGTCCCATTTTCTGTCCCCCATTTCAGTGGTGACAGCTTCAAGGATGAGCATCTTGGCGCTGACTGAGCGTGCCCTGGGGCTTTGTGGTTGACCTCAAGTATGCTGCTGGGAGTCCCGTGGGGCAGGCAGTAGGACTCCCATTTTACAGATGAGGACACTGAGGCTCAGCTTGCCTGCCAGTGGAGCTGAGACTCCAGCCTGGGTCCCTGACTCCCAAGGCAGAGCTGTGGTCATCACAGCCTATGCCCTGAGTGTTAATGACAGCCATAGACCAGTGTGTCCCAGGGACCTTCCAAAGAGCTTTACACGTTTTTACTCTTTAGTTCCTTAATAACCTCTTGAGGTGGGTACTTTGTAATTTCCATTTTGCAGGAGAGTAAACTGAAGCCCAGAGATGGGGGTTAAGTAACTCATCCAAGGTGTCATAGCTACTGAGTGGTACCCAGGTGGTATCAGGTAGCCTGGACTCTCCCCTAACTATTGCACCATGAGGGTCTCTAGTGGTGACGTTGGGCTGCTCTGAGCCATCCCCACTCCCTTGCCCACATCCTGTGAGACTAAGGGAGGTGTGTGCACAGTGGTGGCCACATGCCTATGGGCATGCATGGGGCTTGCCAGTCTGTGTCCTTGCCTGGGGACCTCATTGCCCCAGATTAGCTTATAACAGACACCCCCCAGATTCCAGCTTCAAAGTCCAGGGAGGCCATGTGATTAAAGGAGTGAGAGTAGGGCTCGGGGGTCAATACCCTCTGACTGATTGCTAGTGTTGTCCCCTGTTCCCTTGCCTCTGTGACCTGGGGCAGTGCCTTACTCTTCTTAGCCTTGGTTTCCTCATCTGTAAATGGAATAATGCAGATAAAGCTCGGCTTTATGAATGTTGGCATCTCTCTTCCTTTCTGGGGGAAGCCTTGGGCTTGGAGTGGAGGGTGGGAATCAGCCCTGAAGGGTGAGGAGGAAGGGGCTGGCATTAGACTCTCTGGCCTGGGGGGAAGAGCCTGAGTTTCTGCATCATCAGAAAACTGCATTTAAGGAGCAGTTTGCACAGGAGCCTGGGCTGGGCTCCTCCTTTCTTCCTGCTGTAAAATGGGTATATGTTTCCCTGCTCCTTCCTGAGTGGTTCTGAATGAGCCTGCAGGGAGGAGGTAGCTGCTGTGCAGTTGCTGTTTGCTTTTGCAGCATGCAAAGGGGCCTGCAGACATTTTCATTGGCTTTCCCAAGCCCTTTGCTGGGGATACAATTTTAGTCCTGAGACTTTCCAGTGTGGGGCTAAAAGGCACAGTCTCACGCCTAGTGGAGAGCAATTTGCATTCAGTCAGAATTGACCCAGCTGATCTGTTTCTAGGAATGTGCCCTTGGCTCATGCATCCCTTCTCTCAAGGTGCTATGTATGGAGGATGTTAGTTGCTGCATTGTTTACAACATCAAAAACCTGGAAACAGCCTCCGTGTCCATTGGGGGGGCTCCTGAGGGTCCTTGGCATTGGTCAAAAGAAAGGCCAGTGGTGGTTGGGGCTTTCTGGGAAGCTGGGGTTACTGTTCTGCAGCTGCTGTTTTTTCTGGGTTAATGATTTATGATGGGCGAGGGCTGAGCCCTCTCTGGGCTGTGCTGTGCTCCTGGAGCTGCTGGGGAAGGAGTGTGAGAGCTAGCAGGCTGGAGTTCGCGGGTCGTGAGTCAGTGACCCCTCTCTGTTGCCAAAGCTTTGGCCTTGGACTTCATCTAATTAGACTTCTGGCCTTCTTTCCACAGGCGAGTGCTGGGACGGTGCTGATCTGAGCTGGACTTCGTCTGATGGCTTCCTCCAACCCTCCACAGACTGCCATAGGTACTGTACCCTGGGCTTCTTGCACTTCCCCCCTCTGAGCAGGGCTGTGGGGGCTAGCAGAGGGCCACCAGCTTGGGATCAGGCTGACCCCGGGGTGTGAATCTGGCTCTGCTGGTTGTTAGCTGTGTGACCTTGGCCAACTGACTTTACCCCTGTGGTTTCTGTGTCTGCAACAGGGAAATAATAATTTCCTCCTCAGAGTGGGCTCTGGACAAGGCTTGATTCTTTACCTGTGTCCTTAAGATCCCCTGAAGAGATGGGCAGAGCCCACCTGGGGAAAGAAGTGGGCTGGCGGATGAAGCTTTTGAATTGAGGGTGGGGACCCAAGGTTTGCCGGGAAGGGGCTGGGCCGTCTGTCTCCACCTGTGAAGGTGCCAAGGTCAGGTCATCTAGCAGCGGTAGGCCTTCTAGAGTTGGCATAAAATAAAAACCAAAAAACCCCACCAAAACAAAAAATACTTATGCTAATAAAATTATTTGTTCATCTGGAATTCAATTTGACATCCTGTATTTTATCTGGCAACCAGGGCAGTGGGGCCTCAGACACAGCAGGTGGAATCCAGGCCCCACCCAGGGGGAGCTGGACCCAGACCATTTCACCCCCTGGGCCTGGCTTCCTGTCCTCTTGCCCCCATCGGGGGAGGCAGACATCAGAGTGGTAGCGAGGAGGGCATTCTCGTCAACCTGACCTGCCACTGCCACTTGGATGACTGGGTGTCTCTGTGGCTCCATTTCATCACCCATTAACCTGGGGATAGTAACAACACCCTCTCTTGTGTTGTTGCAAGGCTTAAATATAGGTAAGGCTCTGGTGTGTGGTCACTGATCGATCAGTGAATGGAAGCTGTTGTCACCGTGGGGCGTTGGCAGGATGCTGCGTGTGCGGCGTGCTCTGCACTGAGCCGTGTTCTTCTCCGGAGGGTGGGGTCAGCACAGCGGACCTGCCTTCTCCACAACAGTGTGGCTTCCTGGGTCCCGGCCTCCTGGCCTCTCTGGGGTTGGCTCTCCCGAGGACGGGGGTTGTCCAGGAAAATTAAAGGTGTGTGTGGCCAGTTCTGGCTGTGCCACCTGTCCAGATGGGTGGGAAGGGCTCGGTTCAGCTGTCAGTTATCCAGGGATGGGCCTCCTGATTTTTCCTTCTGACAAGGAGTGATGTCTGATTGCCTGGGTCTCAGGAGCCTGGGAACAGCACTGGGGACAAGGGCATCTCCTGATTCATGACTGTGACTTTGGGTCCCAGGATGCCCCG